AGTCCATGAGTATCCCATTCACCACGGTACTTCGAGCCTCAGTGGCAATGGCCCAAAAAACTCACAGTACCACTACGACAGGCTCCAAGAGATCTCAGTTTATCAATCTGTGCTCAGACCGGTCACTCTTCCAACTCAGAACGACCATGCATCTCCCTTAGTTTGGCTCCGGAACTCGACCTCCGGCCCCCGAGCGTGGCCAGCTTCCCCTACCAGTTGCAAGCCAGGTCTCCCTCAGCTCCCGTTACCTCTCCTTCTCTTACCTCATGGACCGTACTAGCTCCCCCGCCCACTGTCCTTGGTCTCCGCAAATAGGCATCCTCCAACCCCCGTCCTTCTCCTTCCCTTTGATGACCCATATCGCTGTCGCCCACCTCTAATCGTAAGAGCAGGATCATTCAGACATCATAGAAGGCGAGGGTCGCAACAGCAGCCACTATTAGTATGACACCCACGACTGTAGAACAGGTGTGACCACGGGAAGGAGAGCAAGCTCCGCTTGAGGAGGCCTGTGATCGGGATAAAACCCACAGTCGGTGTAAAGACTCAGATCGACACTGCGCCYTCTACGAGCAATAGCCCGGCGACCAAGGTACGAATGGTAGCAACCGGCGGAATGTAATCTTCCCGGCAACCATGATCTTCAATGAGAACAGGATGGCGAGCACCGAGCCCGCAGTTTGCACACATAAAAAGAATAAAAGGGGAAAATGAATCCTCCCCTAGATGACGGTCTTATTCACTCCTTTTTATTATATTTTCCTGTGTAGCAGCGACTACTCTCATGGGCGCAGCTCCTTTCTGTGATATCTCAAGGTCTAGCCGCTAACTTTACAAACTAACCTCATAATCTAACTTGCAGATACGAAGAACCCTTATTTAGCATCCTCCCTCGCCCGTTTTCGTCCGGAAACGGTTGAGATATGCATTTTTCCATCTCCTTTTTCTTCACTTTCCCTCCATCTCTGTGCACACCATTTTTCTACTAACTCCCAAACTACTAACTTTTAGCTCAAACTAACAACATAATTTGACTCGCCCGGTCAAAAAAACTAAATCTAGCATTTCAAATCGCGAAGAACGGTCAAGAATTGAGTGAGTTATTGCAACTTCACTCCCCCCCCCTTTTCTACTCTCCGCCATCTTCGTTTCCTGTGAATGCACCTGGCGCCAAATCCCGTCCGGGTTCATTCGCCTTTTCCCCCTTCCTCATAGCCCTTCCTTCTTCGCCTTACCACCTGTTGCTGCGCTGCTGGCACGGTACCCGCGCTATGCCCGTTTGCTCCGCCACCTTAGCTGCGCTGCGCTGCTGCCTCACTCCGCCCGTCGTCGTTAGCATAGTGCCCGACTACTACACAACGCTCCGACCAGTCTTACTGTCTTGTTGCTTGCCTGCCTGGTACTACTGCCCGCGGCTTGCTGCTGCTAGCGCAGCGTCTGATGGTCGTAACGGCTTGCTGCTGCCGGGCCAGCCCCATTACAGTCTGTCCCTGCGTGCTCACTCCGCCCAGGCGGAATGCTCCAACCCCTCAGGCCTCCAACAGTCGGGCTCCCCCATAGGTACGTGGGTTGTGGTGTTGGCTGAATGCCCCTGCCGCAGGCCCGTAGCATGGCCCCTGGTGCAGCCGGCCCCGACACAGATTTTAGAGGTAATAGCAAATATTCAAGTGAGAACTCTGAGACTCGAACCGGAGGGAAACCCCGTGGGCATACTCACACCCACACCTCCTATAACGGATCGTTGTAGGCGGGCGGGGCATATTCACACCCGGAGAGGGTCCCCGCCACTCAGGTTCCTCCCGCCTCGTGGGCTAATCATCTACCGGCTCGAATGTACGTTAATTCCCCCGGCCCATATTCTTAGGACATACAAGATAAAATAACTTTGCCAACACCTTGAACACGCGGGGACCCGTAAGTCAACGAACGGAGGCGCGCGCTCAAATTAAAAGGTACCAACGGAAAAAAAACAAAATGATCTTAAAAAACTTCCAGTCGCCAAAGACAAAATAAAGGATACCCCCTGCACCGCTCTGACGCCGCCAAATGGCAAAACCAAACGGGGTAGCCCTACGGCCCTCAACCCCATCGGCTTCCTCCTCGATGCTCCGCTGCCGCTGCGTCGACGCTCGCCGGCCTCGATCCCTGAACCTTCGTACTGTCAATCCAAAGTCGTAACCTATAGGGCTAAGCCCAAGCCTGGGACTGAATCCCGCAGAATACCATATAGGCAGTGCGGCGCGACGCTTTGGGCCAACAAAACGGCTGCGCGGCTCCCATTTGCCCTCGCCGGCTTGCTTATATAAGTACCAATCAAAAGAAAATATCCTTAATTCCTGCTTAATAAAAAATAAAAAAATAATAAATAATATCACTAAGAAAAACGACCAAGGTCCGGACCGGCTCTACGATCAACAACAGAAAAGAATCACACGCGCCTAAACCTGCGCGCCCACGCACTCGCTATTGTGGTCAACCACCCAATCAACGCAATTACAAACGCAGCCGCGCTTAACGCGGTATACTTAAATTATAAACCAAAACCGTTTTTTTGTTACTTGCAAAAACCAGGGCGGATACCCTTGTAAGGGTATTCGCACTGACAGCTTACGGAACCATATTAAGCGAAATCCCCGTCGCTTCGCCAAATTAGAAATCTATAAACCCACCCACACTCCAAATGCTGGCGGAAAACGAGTCAATCCGATAGGCGACAAACACAGGGTAGAGGCCTCCATCAAACCGTGCCTCCACAACTATATGCTGCCAGGTTTATAACCTGGGCCTCTCACCGCTCAGAAATTAGAACGCTGATAGCATAAGTTCCAAAGACCTTTCCAATCGTCCTCCCTCCGGTCCTAGACAACCTTCGGCTTCTCGTTGGGTGTCCCTAGTCCTGGCAAAAACTAGGTTCGCGGGCCTTAATCGAGACCTTTTGAAGACACTCACGCCTTTCTTCTCAAAACCTCTCGCAATCAAAAACACATAAGTATATATGTATACTTAATATTCACTCAACTCTTTCTGCAGTCTAGTACAGAAAGGCTAGGTCTCCATCTTGGCCCACCATAGCCTGGCTGATCGGACCAGGACTACGGCCCACCGCATTGTTATTTAGCGGCAGTACCCCTCGTTGGTTACGCAACGATAGGTTTCCTCCTGATAAGCATTCAATCAGGATTCTCCCCCAAAAAAATTATCAACCATCACTATCCCGCGGAGTAATTTCACTGGGGCGGGCACCCCCCCTTAAACTCTTACCCACGCGGTCCCGTAGCCAGGTTGCGCCGGCCAGCAGCCATCCAATGGGGTTACGCCCTAGAGGTACTAACTTATTTTCCGTTAGTTTGGCCTTTCTTCAATATGTCTCAGAATTAACACAAGTGGTTAGGCGGGGCGTCGCAAAACAAAATCACAGGCCCACTGCGCGATACGCAGGGGTCCGAAGGCATCTACCAACCCTTCCACAATAGGCATGGCATCCTTCGCACGCTCACAAACAAAATCACCGCTAAGTCCACCAGGCCGTGACCCCTGACTTGATCAGAGCCAGTAGGCAGCCGTCCTGAGACGTCTCTCGCCCTGCACTCATTGTGACTTTCTCAAACATTCCAAACAAAAGTGGCTCTTTCCGTCAGACTTTATCACCCATCAAACAACTCGTCATGCCATAAATCAATTTACTCACTTCTGAGGGTGAGCCTTTCAACCATAAACCATTCCCTTTCTCCAAAAAAAATCCAAGGGGCTCTCATCATAAACAAAACACCCCCTCTTCCAAAAATCACGAGGGGTCTCGCCATAAAACCAAACTTCCCCTTTTCAAAACTCGAGGGGGTCTCATCATAACACACAACATCATAAAACATCCCCTTCCCCAGAAATCCAAGGGGGCTCTCATCATAAAACAAAACATCACTGAGAGAGCATCTTATGGGTCCTCATCACAACTTAAACAATCAATAATCAACATGGTAAGTTTTTTGAGCCTCTAGGGCTCATAAGACTTTTCTAAAATCCTCACAACTTTTCACAAACAGGCTGCACTCCCTTCCCTTATACTCTGGTCTATCAGCTGCCCGTGGGCAGGTCGCACAAGTATACCGAGGAGTAGACAGTTTTGCTTACAATCATATTCACTGTACCTATGACAAAATAAGATGTTTTTCACACATTGTCCACACAAACTCATCATACATCAGAGTACAACCACATATGTGAGAGTGACAAGTGATCGTCATATATATGAATGGTCCCTGAAATAAAACCTCATCATAATATACACTTAGGGAATAAAAAGGCCTTACACAAAAATTGTCTCCAAATCATAGCTCACTCAACTCAAGCCACACCAAACCCATACTGACAACAACCCCTAGGATACATGTCAGATCTGTCTCTCAAAACCTGTGCGTAGGCCACCTAAATATGTACATGCCTCATCTAAATCACCCTGAACCTCAAGACCCCAGCTCAGTAGGGACACTAGAGTTCAAAAAAAAAAAAAAAAAAAAAAGGTCCTCTAAGTCTAAGAGGGTATCACACAGACCTTAAGCTGATGCCTCACAAGATACTCGCCCACTCACATAGACAAACCGGCGCTATCTCCTCAACTCCTCCTGGTTTTGCCTATATAACTGAGCCCTAAGTCCATTTGCGGACTTCTCTATTAACCTACCCTATTTATCATACATCTTACCTCCTACCTCTTAGACCTTCCCTGCTGCCTTATCCTCAAGGAACTCGAGACAGTCCAGAGCATGATGCACGTCCTTCTTGCAGTAGAAACATAGCTGATCTACCTTCCTCTTGAACTTCTTCTTCCTGGGCTGAGGAGATGGCGATGAAGGAGATCCTACCAAGGTACTGACAACCTCCTGCTGCTCTGATCGAGGGGCTGCGGTACTAACGACCTCCTGCTGCTCTGTCTCAGAAACCGGTCCCCCAGACCCAGATCCAGTAGCCCAAGCTCCCAGTCTGCTCTTCAAATCCCCTGTCGTTAGAACGTACTCAGCCGTGTCCAACCTCTGAGGTCTCCTCTCGAGTGTCTCTCCTAGCACTGTCGTGGGCTGCTCCTCAATCTACTCTGGTCCATACTCAGGTGTGCCCATCCTCTGGAGCCTGCTGTCGATGGCACCCTCCGCCTTAATCTCCATCTCTCTCTCAAGCGGCTCCTCTATCCTCTGCTCGGGTGAAAACAAACTCGCCTCTTCCTGCATGGTATTCACTGCCTCAAGGAGTACGCCTATGGATCCCTCTGCTGACCCCTGAGCCGGCTCACTGCTAGATGGCGGTAGCCCCTCCTCAATCGCCAAAGGTACGACTGGGTCTGCCGCTGCCACTGGCAGCGTCGCGAGCTCAGTAGGGGCTCTAAACTCGAATGCCTCTTTCTCTGCCTGTCTCTGGGCTCTCGCCTCCTCTGGCTCCAGGATAACTCTCCCCATAGGTGGCTCTTGGCGAGGCCCTGCCGCAGATGGCTGTCCTGACAAAACTTGTCCCGACTGCCTCTGCTCTCCCTGTCTGCTGCTCTCTGACTTATCCACTTTTTCTTGGGTTTGCTGCCTCAGGGTCTCAATGATAGCTGCCTGACTGGCCACCAATGCCCTGAGTTCCTGGATTTCCATCTCCATAGCCTCCAGGCGTACTCCATGACTTGCTTCCTTTAATTTTTTTCCCGCCAGATCGCTCTACAATAACAAGTGCCGGTCAAAGGTCGTTTTGGCCAGGAACTTGATTTTGCGATCTATCCTCTCTTCCGCCTTCCTGGCCACCCCAAGCCCGACTCTGACTGGCGAAGGAAGCTTCTCTCCTCTCTGCTCCCAGAAGTCTCTCCACATCTCGGGGATCTCCGGGGCCCTAGCTGGCGCGCTGGGTGGCTGACCTGGGAGTGCTCCTGCTGCCTCCGATCTCTGCCTCTCCTGCTGCTGCTCCGGAAGCTCCCCCGCTGCCTCCAACCTCTGCCTCTCCTGCCATATCTCATCTATCCGTCTGGTTCTTCTCGCCCTCTTTTCTTTAGCCGTCTCTCCAGCTGGCGCCCTTTCCCTCGTGTGGAGGTCGACCCTCTTCGGGATCTCTGCTTCCATCTCCTTCTCGGGTTGGTACGGCTCCTGGCGCGGCTCTGCAGGTGTTGGCTCCTCCAGGTCTGGATGCTCCAGGGCATAAGCTGCTAGGTGCCTATCAATCAGGGTCAAGGCCTCCCTCCTTACAGCTTCCCTTTCTCTCCTCCTGCCGGCTCTCCCCTCTGGCGATGGAGCCCTCTCTGATGAAGGAAGTGGGGCCTCCTCTCTCCGCAATCTCCCCTCTGCCTTACGAGTGCTCCCTGGTGCATCCCCGAGTCTCAAACCCACCGCTGGCGTCTGTGGGGGCGTGTCCTCTCCAACCTCTATCACTTCCTTCCCTGCACGTCTCCCCCTGTCGCCCAGCCTGCTCTCTCGCTGAGTACCCTGCGCCTCCTCTCGTGGCACCTCCTCTCGTGGTACCTCCTCTCGTGGCACTTCCTCTCGTGACACCTCCTCTTGTGGTACCTCCTCTCGTGGCACCCCTTCTACTTGCTCTTCATGCTCCTCACCCTGAGGCGACGCTCTCCACTGAGAGATATCCAGATGCGTCTCCAACTCCCTCAACGGCCCTTCAGACACTGGCGGCTCCTCCCGTGTGTGTACTGGTGACCTCCTCAATCCACCCTAAGTAAAACGATGGAACTCCACTGGTCCCAACCCACACTCAGGGTATGCCCCTCGCTCCTCAACCTTTGGCTCCCGCTCCGGCTCCTCCTCTCTCCTGGCTAGGGCCTTCCGTCCTCCCCGAGACGGTCTCACCTCCCTGGGCTCAGGGTCCCTCGACCTCTGACTCCTCTGACGTCTCTCGACTCTGGGYTGGGGGGGCTCTGGCCGTCGAAAGGCCTCTCTTAGATGTKCCCTRCAGCTCTCCCAGTCCCGGRCCATGTCTCTGATTTGGCTAVCCAGCGGCCTTTYCGCCTTCCTGGTCCADAGTGGTAGCRTCTGCATCCAGTCATCTCTCGGTATGCCCTGCCCCTGCATGAACCACTCAAACGCGGGGATGAAGTCCGACGCATTTCCAATCTCCAGGCGGATCGGCCTGCCATCAGTCCCCACAGGCGAGGGTCGCAACTCCTGCATCCTCCACTCCACCTCTGATCTCGTCGTCGCCTCTCTACGGATCCGCCCGATGGGCTCCTCGAATCTGCCTGCTCCCCTCAATTTCTCAATCGCCTGAGCCACGGTCCAGCCCATACGCCTCGCATGATCCCAAAAGCTGTCCAGGAATAGCTCGATGTCCCCATTATTGTATACCGGAGTACTCTCTCGATGGCGAGGCCCATGTCACTCATATCCTCCTGGTGCTCCCAACGGCCTCCGAGGCGGCCGTGTCCCCCTCCCTCCTCTTGGCATGGTTGTCTTCGTAAAGTTAGACCTGCACAACAGGCGAAGGAGACAACAGGCACACATTGGGGTAAGCAAAACATGTGATAATCAAGCAAACTTAGACCAGACCACACTCACACAACATACATCCTACCTAGCCTACACACCCTGCTACTTCTATTATAAAGGCTGTCAGGTCGTCTCTCTTACCTCTTCTCTCCCCACGAATTTCTTCAGTCGCGTTCCAGATACCCAATCCTTCCACTCAGTCCCATTTAGCACCTTAATCTGATACGCTCCGAAGTCTCCGACCCGTACGATCCGGTAGGAACCTAACCACCTCTTATCGAGCTTCCTGGACTATTGCTTCTCCAGTGATGAATCGTAGAGAAGCACGACATCTCCAACTGCCAAGAGTACTTTCCTCACCCGCGCAGATTGATCCCATCGAGCCTTATCGTCCATACGACTTCTCGCCACCTGGCCAGACGCCTCCTGGATCCTTTCTTCTATCGCTCCTATCTGCCGCGCCCGAATATCGAGCAATTCTTCAAATGACAGGTTAACTTTCAGATCCTGGCGCCTCCATGTCTTAAGAAAGCTCTCGATAGGGAAGGTGGCGTGCCTTCCATACCACAATGTCGCCGGTGCGTGCTTGGTGGATCTTTTTATTGTAATGTTCTCGACAAAGAACGCCGCCCTTAGGTATCTTGGCCATTGATTAGGCCTACCTTCGGTCCACTTAGCCAGGAGACTCGTAATGGTACTATGTACTCTCTCTATGGGAGCATTTGCCTGGGGGTGCGCGACCATACCTTGATAGCAATTCTTGCACCTCCTGGCAGGTAAACTCTGATCCCCTGTCCATTACGAATTCTTTGACGAAAGGGTAACACATGTAATATTCCTCGATGCAGCTCACTAAGACTAACCCGGTCTTGGTGTGAATAGCACGCCCATCTACGAACCCCGATAGGTTATCGCGCGCATCGAAGATATAGTTATAGCCCTGATCCCCAAGTGGCATAAAAAGCAGATCGTGATGTACTACGGCCCCCACCTCTCGCTCTAACATTGGATGCAGCGGCTCTCCTTGCCTTAAACGGGATCTCTCTTGGCAGGGCACGCAAGATCGTCAGAATTTTTCGACCATGTCCATCATTCCATCCCAGTAGTACAACTCACTTATCTTGGCATACGTGGCTTGTACCCCTGGATGCCCTCCTGCAATGCCATCGTGAAGTGCTGCTACGACGTCGATCTGACGATTCCTACCGCAGACGACCCTCCTGGGATTCCCCACTTCTCTTCTCACGAAAAGGTGGCCGTCTCGCACTAAGTAGCGCTGCAGCATCCTCTGAGCCCTATCGCTTGCATCCCTTAGCCGCATTTCACATGACAGAAGAAGCCCCAGTTCTAGGTAGATCCCGTCGTACTCCGCTGCACGAAAAGCCTCCTTAATCTCCCCCTCCTCGAACTCGTCGTCCTGGCTCCCGGACACTTCGTCCACATTTCCTGTCGAGTTTTACGAGCCTGACTGGTCGAGTCCTTCCTGCAGTAACGTGTTGACGAGGAGATACATTCCTCCCATCAGGTCCTCATGCCGTTCTACCTGGCCAGGTCCTTCCTCAATCGTTCTCATGCCCTCCACCAGGCTATGCGAGCTGGCCAACGCTAGCTCCATCATCCACTGAACATCCTTACCGCCCCAGGGATCTTCTTCCTCAAAGGGCTTAAGGACTAGCTCATTCCTCCTTTCATACCCCTTCGGCGCTTTCCAGATAGGATAGCCTACACAGTTGGGCACTCGTGGCGACCACTTGTTGATATGAAGACGAACATCTTCTTCCTGATCCAGAAATCCATCAACTGGGGGTGTATTCTCCACCGCCTCCCCTTCCTGTTTATCCCAGTTGATCCAACTCAGCCCGTCCGCCCGGTTCTTACTTCCAGGAATCCGTTTCAATTCGAAATTGAACATCCAGATGTACGTTAGCCATCTGGCAACCGTCGGATCCGATGGAACGTAATTCCTTAGAGAGTAGGCCAGGGCGGTCGGATCCACTCTCAAAATAAACCTTCTGCCAAAGATATAGTTCCGGAAGATTCGCAGACAGTGGAGGACAACAAGGGTCTCCCTCTTGAACTGAGAGTAGTTCCTCTCCGTCGTACAAAGAGTCCGACTCTCAAATCGCAAGGGTCTTTCCTTTCCTTCCATGTCTGCCTGAATTAGAACTCCCCCTAAGGCAGTCGGTCCCGCATCCGTTTCGACAATGAAGGGTCGCGTCTCTGTGGCGTCATAATCTGGCGCTCCTAACACCAATCCTCCTTCTCGGAATTCCTCCTTCATTTTTGCCACCACCTCTTCTTGTTCCTCACCCCATACCCATTCCTGATCCTGACGGACTAACTTCCTCAGGTGTTCAGTCTTAGCGGCAAAGTTNCTTCTTGTTCCTCACCCCATACCCATTCCTGATCCTGACGGACTAACTTCCTCAGGTGTTCAGTCTTAGCGGCAAAGTTCTTGACGAAGGCCCTCCAAAATCCACACGTACCAAGGAAGCTCCTGACATCAGTTATTGAGTGGAACGGAAYTGGYCACTCARTAATCTTGTCCRTCTTCTTCACATCCGGCCTTCGACCCTTCTCATTGCAGACGATCCCCAAGATAGTCGCTTCCCTCATGCAGTGTCTGGATTTGGCCCCGCTTGCCGTGAGGTTATGCTCTTCGAATAGACTCAGGACCTTTTCGAGGTCCTGGATGTGTTTTCAGACAAAGCGCCTTACCCCTGGTGAGACTTTGTCGCTCTCTTTCATTGCCGGCCCCTTCGCTGCCAAATCGTCAATATATGGCTGTGTGATATGGGGGCTGACTGACTGCATGGCCCGAATCATGGCCCGTTGGACCATTGCTACTGCGTTGGTCCACCCTTGTGGGGCCACGTTCATGTGGATTAATCGTCGCAGCGTGTGCATAGCCGTCACCGGCCTATCCGGCGGGTAGACTGGGAACTGATCGTATCCTGAGTAAAGGTCTATAAGCGAAATTATAAGCCTTCCAGCACAGGATTCCGAGCATCTCGCACGGTCACTGCATTCAGTCTTTGCAAATCCTGCACCTACCGCAGCGTCCCGTTAGGCTTAATAAAGCAGAACCACGGGGACGCATACGGTCCACTTGAATAGTTGGCGACGTGAGTACGTATCTTGCCGTCGAGGTAATCCACCACCTTCCTTTCCTCGTTAGGATTGGGATATCGCGCCCCTCTCATGTTCCAAAGCTCGTGTGGCACGGTGTGGATGCGGATCATAGGTATTTTATCCACATCCAGCCTGCCACGCTCCTCGTCACTAGACGCATAAGCGCGATGCTTCCTCTTCATTAATTCCACCATCAATGTTCGCTCCTGAGGCAACAGGAAATCAGACTCCCCTATGATCAACTCCTTCTCGTTCCCTTCGTTGATACGACATGGCCCTGCTAAAACACTCTCCCTCATTCGTCGTATCAACCCCCGTTCCCTCTCGTAATATGCTTCCTCGTCCTCTATAACGAGGACGGGTACCGGGCGACACTTCTTGTCTACCGTCTTGTACTGCCTTTGGGAACCCTGCTTGAGCCGTCCCCTAAAAAAGGCCGACTCACGGATTGTGTTTGCGCTGATGCGGGGTTCCCTCCGCTGCCTGGGAGCCGATATACCAATTCCAGCCTTCCTGCCTCAGGGCATTCCAGAACTTGCTCCCTCAAGGCCGGATGGCATCCGGATCTGCCATCTCATGCGCAGCCACCAGGTCCATGGCCTTCCCAACATCTGGCAAGCTGAGGGAAAATGCTTCCACCCTCTCTCCTGCTTCGAGCTCTGCCCAGAGCCTCCTGCGCTCCCCTTCCGACTCCTCGATTGTGAATGATCCTGGATTGGGCCGGTTCCTAATACTCCTTGGCCCGGTGTTCCTGCAAGTAATTATTTCATAATTCCCGCAGGCAGGATCGCATAAGAGGAGGATCAACGTCTCATCATGATTGTTGAACATCATGGTCTCTGTCCTACTTAAGAATGACCTCCCCAGGAGGATTTCATGGTCCACGTCCGGCATTATGAAGAAGCATGCCCTGACCTTCACCTTTCCAACCTCGACGAGCACATTCGAGGCTGTCCCGCAAAACACGGCCTTACAGCTGGCTCCATGCAGAATACCGTAGTCAGAACGGTCTATATCCAGCCCGAATCTGATCGCGTCCGCCTCCCGAATAATGTTCATCTCTGCCCCGGTGTCCACCATTGCTGCGCACTTGGAACCCTTCACCATCAACTCCACCGTACCGCAGGCTACGCACTTCCAGTCCATCTTCGTACCTGACTCTGCCCACTCTGCCTCCTTGGGAAGGATCGTACCCAGATGGACATTGGGCACCAGGCGCCGTGATAACCTCCCCTTCAGTTCAGCGCGGAGTCGCGGGGCTGACGCTAGGATTTCCTTCAGGGTCATGAGGTCATTATGCCCTTCCTGCAGCCGTTCAATCACCTTCTCTACGTCAAATCCCTCTTCCAACCGGACCGCGTATTTCTTCTTTTTGGGCGGTCCGTCATGTATGACCGGTTCGGCCTCTCCCCTGGTTCCCTTTTTCCTTGCCCGCTGCTCCGCTCTCTGATCCTCTTCTCTGCGCAGCCTCTCGTCCTCTTCCTCTTCATCATCGTCGTCCTCAACTTCCACAGCCTCTTTCCTTCTCCCTGGTTCGGGTTCCCTCCTTGGAGGCTCTTGGCTGGCACTGACCTTGGCTTGATTCCTCGTTCGCGCTTCCTGTGCCAACCGGGCCTGCGGAGTGAGGGGTCTCCCCCTCATTCCTGATTGTGGGCACGACCCCACCACATTTACTCCGGGTCGCCCAGGCGTTGACTCCGGGCTGGAGTCATAGAGGAATACTGTGGGGATGTTAGACCTCCATCCCTTCACTTCCTCACATAGGCCCACCAACTTCTGTTGGTACCTCCCCATCTTATCCAGCAAGTTCTCCATCTTCTCAAATAAGACGGACGGAGGCTCCGTTCTTTCCTCCTCATCCTCGTCATCTGACTCGATGATTATGGCCTCTTCCGTCTTACTTTCTCCTCGTAGCCCTTGAGTCACTTCCTCATCGCTTCCTACTTCTTCCACCCCAATCGGTGGTTCCTCCTTTTCCTGCCATAGCCTGAACATGGCAGGGGGTGGCGGCCCAACTGCCGCTCTTCGTTGGGCTTCAACCCTCACTCCTCCAAGCCTTCGGTCAATAGCCTCCCCAAACTGATCGTAGATATTCCCATCCATAGTGGAGGAAATCAGTCTGCTTCTCTCGTCTTCCCGTCTTATATTAAAGAACCTTATAGTGTGGCCTTGCTGGTCACAATGTTGACAGATGGCCGTCCTCCAGTCAAAACGGGGTCTTCCATACCCCTGACTTCCCTGATCCCCCTGACCTTGATACCCCTGGCCTTGATACCCTTGGTCTTGGTACCCCTGGCCTTGACTCCCTTGGCCTTGGTTCCCCTGGCCTTGACTCCCTTGGTCTTGGTACCCCTAGCCTTGGCCATTCCATTGCCTTCCTCTTCCGCCGCCATTCCTGCCTCGCCCCCTTCCTCCACCCCTCCCTCCGTTGCCTTGATTGCCCTGCCCCTGGTTCCCACCTCCAACACTGCCCTTTGAACTGGGATCAGGTGACAGTGGCGGGGCCACAGGTTGGGCCTGGGCTGCGGGGTAGATGGGTGGTGGCATACTCGTTTGCGGTCCGGCTACTGGCGGCGGGCTTCCCCATGGCACAATTGCATTGATCAC